AAGGGGGTTAAAAAATTTAAAAAAAAAAAAAAAAAAAAGGAAAGAGGAAAAAAAGATGAAAAGAAATATCCACGCAACAGACGACGGGGACATCTAAAAACAACCATAAAATTTACAGTTTATAGATTATACTCTAATTGGCAGAATATGTGGTGTATTCAAGAGGCTTGCAGAAAACCCACAAATGCAAGCCTAATGCTAAAAATGTTCCAGTAGACCTAAACCTCAGATATTTCAAAACAAACCTTGTATTCCTCAGATATATAGCCCAAAGTTCAGTGTCCTAGGTTATTCAGGTATCTTGTGTATAATCAATACACTCACTCATTCGTGTGCCACAAATATCAACTTGGGCTCATGGAGCCAGGCTCAGCTTTGAGATTTACATGCAGGACTCTTAAGAGTCAATAGAAAACACATAACAGATCTGCAGGATGAAAACACTGTGTTGCAAATCTGCTCACTTTGTTCAAAACACAAGGAACATTTACGACTTGGGTACTTAGTGCTTAAGGACTGCATTGAGAAACTATTCACTGAAAGACAATAGCCTGCCTTTGGTTGCCCATGATGTAATACTGGACATAATGCAATATAGTAGCAATGGACAAAGAATTAAGGTATCATATTTATATGGAGAGTATTTATTACCATTCAACAGCATAATGAGGCACAAGCCTTAAGGCTAAAATATGAAATCAGGCCAAAAAATGGACAGAAAGGGGCTTAAACCACTGAGTCTTCAATATCAAGAATACCCACAATAGAGGTCATCCGGACCTCTGATCTCTGATTAACAGCACCTCTCCTGCATCCTTCCACTAATGGCATAAGGTTGGATATCAGAGTATTTGTTCCTTCCATCAACAGTGTTGACTGTCTTCACATACTGTGTTTCTGTGAAGCAGTTTGTTGAAACTTGCAGAGCTCTGCCTTAATGTAACATGACAATAACATAACATTGCTGTGCTGATGGTTGTTGCAATTCTGATACTTTTAAAAGCTGCCACACTTAAAAAATCCTAATCTTCATTTACAACTATCTTGCAAGATTAAAACCGTGAAAGGATTTTGCTGTTGTGGGCTGCTATTTACATCCACAATGTAATGCAGATGACTGAACCACTGAGACTGCCTATAGCTTCCATTAGATAGTACACCACGGGCATGCAGAACTCTAGTGTTCATAGAATGAAATTCACGTTAACAGCATACCTCAAAGCAAGTACAATGTACACCACAAAAGGCAACAACAGGTTTAAGCTGTAGATTTGTCCGGACACTCCTTATGTGGAAAAGCCAGAAAAAGAGTAAGTTGGGAAGATGCCTTCTTGAACCAAAATGGTTAAAAACAAAACAAACATACAAACAAAGAAATGCAACAGACTGAGCAGAAGGCAACAAATGCTTCTCCTTCTCTAAAGTAAGTCTTCAATGTAAAAGGACCCCCACCCCCCACCCCCCTGGCATGAGATTGTATTTACCATGTAAAATATTAACTACTGTTAGGCTTCTAAGTCCACACACAAACATTCAGGTTGCTAGGTTTTGATATTAAATGAGAGACTACTGATTGCCAATGCGTAGTCTAAAGTCTTCTGAAGTAGCATATATACTGTTAAAGTTGTGGCACCAAGCACTTGGGTTTTGCTAAGAAGTGTGTATAACAAACGAAGAAGTACATTTAGGACTGAAGGCAGCCTTGTTGCATGTATTTTACTGGTTCCTACAACTTGTAAATACGGGCCATTAACCTGTATTTTCTAATTAACTGGTTATACAGATTAAATATATTTTTATAGTTTAAAGCCTTTTCACTGAAAGGTGCATAAGTCAAACACTTGATATCCTACTGCCCTGTGACTACTAAAAATGCACAAGTATTTGCATGTACTGCAAGTTCTTAAAAAGCTAAATTTGAAATGAAGTGTAGAAACACAGCAGATTGATGTTACTTGGGTTAGGCACTCCTCAGTGCTGCAACAACTGTTTAAACCTTTCAGAAAAGTCACCTCTGTCCCAACCCTGAAAACAAGGACTGCCAGTAGCCAAGAAATTAAATTTAATGTTACAAAAGAAGGCATATCAAAATATCAAACTACACTTGCATGTGGCAGTTGAACAGGTGAGTGCAAGGTTGAAGAAAAAGTTAAAATCTATGAAAAAATTTAGATTAATGATTACAATACTAGATCAACTTTACACAGCTTGAATTGCAGCTGTTCTTTGCTATTAACTCCCTCCTGCCCAAATATATTGACTTCCTTCAAGAAAAGGAGTTCTCTTACACAAAATGTGTCATGTTTGTTTATATTATTCAGAACAAAACAGTTTTGCTGGCAGAGATTGTGGGTTCGCAGGGACATTTAAGCTTTCATTAAACTGGAAAGCAGTCAAGTCTTTGTGTCTACAAATTTTACATTTAATAGTTCCACAAATTTGGCAAAAGTTCATGATGATGTCTAGGATGTCTTCACCAAATCGTAAACATAAATATGGAAATCATCATCAAACTTGATGAAATAGACAGATGGTTTGGCTTCAACTTGATGAATGACCATGCCAGTCCTTTTTGAGCCATCTTCTTTGGCATATTCCACTTGTTTGCCTACCAGGCTGTCCACAACTTCACCTGGTTCCCGTTCTGCAGGAGGTGAATCATCTGTAACACAAAAACAGTGTACTTTGGTAGACATTAATGGAATTTTTCAATATGGAAGACAACTGCAGTTTTCTTTAAAACTCATACAAAACAATCAGAAGTTTTAATTACAGAGTATGTAGAAAATCAGTTTTCTTCAGACAAGCACCTAACGACTGCCATGCTCCTAGAAAGTACAGTTGCAGAAAAATTTTCAAGTAATACTGTCTTCAGTTTTATTAAGACAAAAATAGCACTTTGATTGGTAAGAGAAGTAAATCTCTTGACATAAAGGTTTATGTACAAGTTACAGAAAATGTCTGTGGATAACTTAATTTAGGCCACCAGCAGAAAAAGGCACTGGGTCTCCTTAGCAGAGAAGTAGTCAAATGAAACCTCCCTCTTCCCACACACATTATTCAAAGTTTCAGTACATGCATGCTACTACAACAAAAACATCTCTTCTAAGATGATAGTAAGTATAAGCTCCTTTTTAAAAGGGGCTTTTGACTCCACATTGGAATAATACAGTTGGTGAAGTTTAAACCGTATTATTTGCTTATCTAGCAAAACCTAGCCAGAAATATCCTTGTATTTTAGATGATGCCTATGCTAAATTTGGATACAAAAAGGCATCATTTGTAACACGCCAATTGCCAAGGGGCTGGTTATAAGCCAATCACAGAATAAATGTGATAAAAGGTAAAAGCACTGTACTGGAGAACTGCAAGCTAACCACGCCTTCTTTCTCAGAGTGTCTTTTTGATTAGTTTAGATAAACTTGTGTTTGTATTCCAGTGAGGAATTTTCTTAGTAATGGTCACACCTAATGTGGCTTATATTCTGGAAATCCTTAGCCTTTGAATTAATGTTTTGTTCCAAGTTTGCATTAAGAATCCCTTACAGATTTCACTCATTTACTTTTCAGTTCTGTGAGCTGTGAAAGAACTCCCAAAGGAGAAAAAAAAAAAACCAAACATGAAATGAATAGATTGGATTATACTTGCACTTAAGATTCTTCCACAAACATAGGAAGTTTTGCTTTCAATTTTTGTTTCAGTTCCTCTACAAACACACTGTCATACACAGTTGTTATCCTCTTAGTATCAGTTTTATGTAAAGAGTCTTCCTTGGCAAAGATGCATGTTAAAAACTCTTACATTTTCATGTAGAAGGAACTATGAAGTGTTGACAAAGTTTTAATAGCAGATCCAGCAATATATTTTCCCCTCCCGAAAAAAAGTGCAAAAGGACTTATCTAAATTTTAGTTTCCTCACGTATGCAAAGCCTGTATTTGACAGGAGAGAGTTCCCTAGAAATTTTAGTTATGATACTATGGCAAGTTCCATCAAATTTACAGACATATGTCCAAGTATTCTAAAATCTGATTTGAAAAATACTACTCTTAACATCTAATCATTGACTCAAGGACACAATTCAAAAGATCCGGAAAGCATTCAGATTCAGGGAAGGTAGCAAATACTTAGAAGTGTTTTTGAAACAGGTAAGCAGTAGATAGTCTTGTGGTGAGCATGGAGGGAAGAGTGCATTAAAACCAATTAACTCTTAAATGGAAAGC